GAGACACCATATAAATGCACAGTGTGGAAGTGACTTCCGTAGTTTGAAAAGGAGTAAACTGAATAAAATTGAAAAATAAAGACTTCTAGACATTGACTGTAAAAAATTAAAACTTAAAAGATGCTGGTTTAAATAAACTACGGGACAATCGGATATAAATATTAAGGAAGAAAAAGAAGAAATGAAATAAAATGAGTGAAATATATAAGGAAATAAGACTGGAACTGCAAAGTGTGGATAGGATATAATAAAAGCTCAGAAATATGGAATATTATAATAGAAAAACTAGAAATGGTGACACAAATTACAAGAACAAAGAAAGCCAAAGGGGGAGGAGTTAAACAAAGAAGAAATCAGCTTTAAAGAACAAAGGGAACAACGAACATAATCAAAGGACAAAAAAAGAACTAAAATTAAGATTTTAGGGATTGATGTGATAACGGGGGAAATATCTGGAAGATTAAATGAAGAGAAAATTACAGAAGAGGGAATTACAGAGAAAAGATGAAAAGAGGGAGGGGGAAAAACAAATAAATGGAGAAAGAAATTGCGGGAAATAACAGTGAAAAGAGGGGAAATTAAGAGAAAGGACCAAAAATGATAGAAAATGGAAAGCAAGCTAAGATGAGAAGGAATTATATAGTCAGGAGGACGAGACGATGGTTAAAGATGAGAAAAGGGATTACGCATGGAAATGTATTTTGGTATTTAAGAACATAAATATAAAGGTTAAGATTGGAATTGATATTTTATTAATTATTGTTAAAATTCAACATAAATTTAACTGGAACAAATATGGAAATAAGAATTTACTGTAAGATTACTAATTAATATTTAACAATGTGATGAATAAAGTGAATATGAAGCATGAGAATTAAAAATAATTATATTATTAGCTCTTATAATTGATTAAATGGAATAAAATGGGAAAATAATTTGTTATATGTTTTTTGAATAAATATAAGAATATAATAAAGGGAATACCATATGAAACATGATTTGTGTGTATGATATATAATAGGGGCTTATTAATATAGAATATGGTAATTTTTTAAAAATGGCTATATTATTCATTTTTATAATGTGTTAAAGGGAATAAAATGGGGAAAATGTATAAGGTAAATGGATGGCAAGATTGAATTGACAATGAAAGGGCATAAATATTGGATAATATAAATCAAGATGAATTTTATTGAATAATGAATGGAATAACAGTGTGATAAAACTTGCAAATATGATGGATACAAGAAAATGTGTGCAATGAATATAGAAATTGGTTAAGAATATAGATAATTGTAATGGCTCTGACATCCACCCCATTTAAATCATGAGTCTCTCACCGCATCTCTCAGAGTTCAAAGAAGATTTATTAGGAGTGAACATGCCGGTGCTACCTGGGTATAGCCGACTCTGAGACACATCATTTCATCCTTGACCTTGGTTTTCCCCCCACCCCCTGGTTGTGTATTCTCCAATGGGACACATCCATAGCCAAGAGTCATCAATCATGATTTCCAGTAATAACCTTGCACGCCAGAAGCTTTGGCCGCCTAGAAATTATGAAAGTATTTAAAGAATGCACCATTTTCCCCCCCTTTCTGCTAGCAACTCTAAAAGTCCAGAGAAATATTTTTGAGTTTACAATAATATTGTAAAATAATGTATAAGAATATTAAAAGAAAAATGGAATAGGCAATAATATTAAATTGGATACGAAAGCTAAATATGTAATCATGGTCATGTTTGTATTGAAATGTAAAAACCTGGAATCACGTTCACTAAATATGTTTTTTTAAAAATAAAATTTTTATTGTAAAATAAATTACCTAAAAACCTCTATATAAGTATAAATATAGAATTCATATGAATTTATAAAATTTAGAAAGCATTTCACCCTACAGAGTTGTTACTTCCCACAATAGGTCATATTTTTTTCTTCCCTCTTAAGATTTATCTAAACTTTTCTATTTATCTTCTGACCAGATGAAAGCATGAGATCAGATCCAGAAAGGAAAGCTTTTTGAGCCGTTGCCAAGGCAATTATTCCTCACTACTTGAGCTTCCCAACATACTTTGAACATTAATAAACTCTTATGACCTGCAATTCTCCTACAGTCTCCATCCGTTATTCTTTTTTCACTATCTCATCCTGTCAACATGATCACCAATACTGATCCCCTTATTTGAATCCCTCTAGGGGATAAACCCACTTCTGGAGGTCAATTTCTCAGGTTGTTTTAATGTAACACGACCCCTTGAAATCAGATTAATTCTACAATCCAGCCTGGAAAGATCAAACACAAAGGTTAACAGAAAGTCAAGACCTCCAACAGAACAGAAATAGATATAAAACAGAAAAGGTGTAGGGGAGATTATACTTTGTAGGAAAATGATACCTTCTCAGAGTCTATGGCAGGCATGTCAAACTAGATTTCATTGAGGAACACATCAGGGTTGTGTTTGGTGGGGGAGAGGCTGAATCTTGGGCTGCTTTGCAAATAACACGGTAAAAATACTGGCCAGGATTCCCACGCCCCCCCCCCCCCTTTTTAAAAAAGCTTTGTTTTCACTGGCAGAGGCACCCCGGGGAAGACTGCTGCTGTTTCCAGGACAGCCCCATGGGCCAGATCTAAGCACCCCACAAGCTGCATCCGGTCACTGAGCCTTGAATTGGACACTCATGATCTATGGAGATTCTCTGTCCGGCACAGAGGTTCCCCAACCTTTCCCTGTTAGTGGGCCAGTGGTGATGCTGGGGAGAAGGTTCTGCAAGACAAGTGAAGCTCGTGAACAGCTCCCTTTGCACTAACCTGCTGCTTGCGTAAGTGAAGATGTATGCGTGCATGACCACACACTTGCACATCACTTCCACGGCCCACTTCAAAACAGCTAAATTACTGATAGTGGGCCATGGCCCTAGGAGGTTGGGGACACCTTATCCGGGTTATGGTTGCTCCAAGGTCATCTTTCAAAAGGCAACTGGACTTTATTTTTGCTTGAAGACGTTTCACTTCTCATCCAAGAGGGCCGAGAACTGAAGATGCTTCTCAGATAAGAAGCTAAAGCATCTTCAAGCAAAATCAGAGTCCGGTTGTCTTTTGAACAAGCACCTTTGGGAATGCCTTCACTGAGCACCATTACAGGAATACAGATAACAGAACAAATAAATAGCTGTGAAGGAAAAGCATTACTGTTTATTTCATAATAAATGTCCCTGTGTATGGCTTCGCCGCGATCTTTCCTTCCCCACATTGGAAGCATCATCCATTTCATCTCCCTCTCCTTCTTCCACCTCTTCCAGGAACACATCCACATTTCGAAGAGGACTGCGGGAGAAAGAGAAGTCCCAGGTGGCCAGAAACAGCAATCAAGCCAGGTTATATCCAAAGGCACTTCGCTCATTTCAGCCCAGCTCAATTTTCACCGCCCCCATCATTCTCGGACCCCTAGAGCCCTCCCCCGCCCCCCCACCCCCCCGCTTGCATCCCCTGCCGCTCTCGAGGAAACGTTTCACCATGAGGCGAACTAGGGCGTCCTTTAACCGTCGGTAGGGAGCAGAGCATGCGCAGAGAACCTTTGTCAGCCCTCGATGCCGAGCACAGGACAGGAGAGGTCATAGTTGCCCTAAGAGACACTGTAGCCAAGAGCAGTAAATGGGAGGGTGGGGCGCTTATAAGGGTTTCCCTCTCTACGAAGCAACACTCTTCGGCTGACAGAGTGAGGGAGACCAGGAAGGCGCGGGAAGTTTTGGCGGGAAGGATTTGCAGCTACTCTCCTCAGCCTCAGAAGCCCTGAGGGAGCGGAGCCCGCCCCCTTCAAACCCCCGTGAAACCGGGAAAGGGGCGGGGCGACTGGGTTGGGGAGGGTCCGCTGTGACCGAAGGCGGCCCCAGAGGGAGTTTTTTCCCGGTCGGGGTTGCGCTTGAAGCCGGAGACCCAATGGAAGCCCAGGAGTCTACCGTTCAGGCGGGGAGCGGCTGCTCCGAGGCTGAGCGCTGGCGCTTCCGCAACTGCATCTCCCGGAAGGCCGAGGGGCCCCGGGCGCTTTGCAGTCGCCTGCACCGGCTGTGCCGGGGGTGGCTGCGGCCCGAGCGGAGCAGCAAAGCCGAGATGCTGGACCTGGTGGTGCTGGAGCAGCTGCTGGCCCTGCTGCCCCCGGAACTGTCGGGCTGGCTGAGGGAGTGCGGGGCGGAGAGCTGCGCCCAGGCGGTGGCCCTGGCCGAAGGCTGCCTCCTCGGCCCCGCAGCCGCCCCGGAGCCCGGAAAGGGGCGACAGGTGAGGCACTTTCGTCCTCTTCTACGCCTCTTGTCTCTCTTCCTTGGCAGATAATCGCAAGGAAAAAAAACATTAAAACAAAACGTGTTGGGGTTGTGTAATTGTACCTGGGAATAACTTTGCAGGATGTGAAGTCATAGACTGGACAGTCATAATTTAAAAGATCGTCTCAATTCCCACATGGTGATAGATAGGTGGGAAAAAATGATAAAAACCTTTGCTACTTTTGCTGCAACTAGCGGATAC